GTTGAGAGTTATCGTGCCCCCCCCCCCCCCCCCCAGTAAGTAAGTCTGTGGGGGAAGGGGTGGGGAGAGGGTAAAGGGCTGTGGGGAGCAGATCGAGGCCCCCATGGTGAGGGAGTGGGGCACGGGCAGGGTATGAGGCTGGGGTGAATGGGGCCCCAGCCAGGCCAGGTTGTGGGACAGTCAGCCCAGGCAGCTCATCCAAGGGTGAGGAGGGCTCCCACCACTATGCGCACCCTGGCAGAGGTGGTTGCTGCTATGCACAGGGCTTTGCTCCCTGCTGCCACTGCCTCCAAGCCACACAAATCCACGTGTGTCCTGCCACTGGGCGGGCAGGAGGTAGGGCGCAGCCCAGCAGCGGCAGGCATGTGGCACTGCGCCGCTCCCAGGGCAGGTGCAGTGGGGTATAATGCACAGTGTGCAGTGGCAGCCACCTCCACCCCACACACAGACTGGGGAGGAGCCGCCCAGGCTTTGATTCTCCTACCACCTGGCCCAGCCAGGGCCCCATTTACCCTATCCCTGCCCCTGCCTGTGCCCCACTCCCTCCCTCAGCACTGGGGCCTCGATCTGCCCCCCAACACAGCCCTTTCCCCTTCACCAAATTGACTGGTACTTGCCTGCCATGCTGGGCAGCCAGTGATCCACAGGCCGAGCTGCAATTCTAGCTGCATGTGTGACTCTTCCCACCCCTGCTACAGCCACCTGAAGCCCACGGCTAGGCTGCCTTGTAGCCCTACCCACTACCCTGCGTTTGAGGGGGCTGAGCCCTGTTAGTGCCAGTCTTCTGCTGCCTGTGATGAAAGGGGTAACCACATGGAGGAGGCGGAAGTGTTTGCATGAGTTTAGGGGGTGACCACATGGGGGAGGTGAATGTGTTTACATGAGTGTAGGAGTGACAACAGTATGGGTGTAAGTGTGTGTAGGTGCCTTTGCAAACCTCAGATGGGTGGATGGATGCATGTGAATCTTGGGGTGACTGTGACCCTGGGAGTAAAGGACTGTAAGAGTGGTGGGTGTGACAATACATGTGTGTTGGGGGAATGGTTACTGTGCAAGAGATGGAAAATGGGGTAGGGGAGTGAGGTGAGGAAAAGAAGACTTTGTGCATCCTAATGTGATGGGTGACAGTGTGATTGGTGGATTGACACTTGTATGTGTGAAAAAGAAGAGGCCATGGGGTGTATGTTAACATGAAGTATGACAGTGTGGGTTACCAATTGATGTGTGTGTGTGTGAGAGAGAGGGAGGAAGGAAGGGATGACAGGGTGTGTATGTGGAAGAAGATGTTATGAGATGGGTGTTAAGTGACAGGTGACAGTTCGGGTTATGGGTTGATGGGGTGTGTATATTTGAGGAAGGAGATGTGATCAGGTTTGTGTTAAAGTGAAGACTGACAATGCAGGTTAAGGGAGAAGTGTGTGTGTGTGTGTGTGTGTGTGTGTGTGTGTGTGTGTGTGTGTGTGTGTGTGTGTGTGTGGAAAGAAGGGGTAATGGGAGACAGTAAGTAAGGAAAGGGGACAGGGTGTGAGGATTAGCACAAGGTGTGACAGTCCATGTGCAAGTATGTGTGTGTGACTATGTGGGAGAACCCCCAATTACATTTCTGGGTAGATAGCAGGATATGGCTCCCCCTGCAACCCCCATTAATGCCTTGGCAGTACCAAATGTGAGCTGGCTGATTTATGACAGCAGTCAGAGCTCCATTAGCAGCCAAATGGCCTGCGGGTGCCAGCTGGACGGCTTTCCCCATCCCTAGGGGGCATGCAGGGGAAGGCTGGGCATTAACTCCTGAGGTACTAAAAAGGCACTGTTCCCTTGCCTACATTTAGATCTGGTTGGGCCATAGAAGAGGTCTACTGGCAGATGGCACTGTCAGGATACCTACCCCAGGGGAGGGAGGGGGTAGAGGTACCCATTCTTTAGCCTGGTGAAGCCTGGGAGCAGAGTTGTACAAACAGCTGTTTTGTTTTTTCACAGTCCTGAAAAAAAATCTTTAAAACAAAACCCAAAAAACTGTTTCGGGTCAACCCAAAATGAATTATATTTTTAGCAAACCTATTGGGCTACCCACTTGCCATCCTACCCCATTGGGCTACCACCTTGCCACCCCACTGCCCAAGTCTGAGGTCACATTGCACATGACAGTGATCTTTTCTAACCTCTTCTTCTAATACATGGAAGGGATTTTTAGTAAAACTGAAGGGAACTGCAAGATGAAATGTCACTGCAGATAGAAAAATCCATGTTTCCCTTCCAAAATGCCAGCACAGGCTACTTTGGGTGTGCTTCTGTCAGGGGGTTGTTGCTGCTTTGCAGAGGTTTTTGTTTATTTGTTGCACAGGCAGTCCTAGGACTTACGACAAAATTGGTTCCTGAAAAATGGGTCTTAAGTTGATACATTGTAACTCAGAACCAATTGTCTCATAAGAAACAATGTTATAAATGCGGGATTGGTTCCTGAACCAAGGCCCCATACCCAATTTTCACTAAAAATACCCCACAATTTTGTACTCAATCAATTATAGATGAGTAATATAGTGACGTTAATGTATTTATATTGTAAATAGCAATCACATTGATTTGGAAGGATTTCTTTGAGGTGACTTTGCTGGACTTTTTGAAAGGCTCTTGGCTGGACTTTTTGAAGGGTTCTTGGCTGGAGTCTTCTCGGGAGTCTTGGCTGCAGGTTTTTCTGGAGTCTTGCCTGCTTTCTTAAAGAAAGTGTCCAAGGAAGTTTGGACAGATGTTTTCCAGGAGATGAGCGATGCAGCGAACTTGTTTGTTGGCGTGGCATCGCATTGTTGTAAAGTCAAATCTGACATCATAAAGCTGAAACAGGGTGTCAATTCATAAACGTTGTAAGTGCAGAATGTTGTAACTTGAAACGTTGTAAGTCGAGGACTGCCTGTACATTGCAATGAATTTGTGAAATGCCTTTTGCTAGCCAGTATACAAGGGCCTTTGCTAAAACCTTTTTCCCAGCTCCAGCTGGGAGCTCAGCAGAGCAGGTGACCCTTGGTAGGGTGACCCCTAGCCAGCCCCATGCCCTGGAGTGCATGTAAAGGGAGCAAGGGACTCACAGGCCTCATGCTGGTCTTTTACCCTCCCCTGTTGCACCAATAAACTCTGGCTGGCTCAGACAGGAAGGAATATGCGGTGGGACAGGAGCATTCCACTCTTTGACAGCAAACTTTATTAAACCAGATATAAACACTAAACTCCAAACACTAAACTAACAGTAAGTTAAACAGTCTAGTAAGAGTTCTAGTTTTTTGTATGTCTAGTAAGTGTTTAGGCAGTCATTTGTCAAGCAGGTGGGTTTGAGGCAGCAGCCAGTGGCTGGGGGGCCTGTGGTGCCCTTTGATGGTATTTCTGTCAGCTGGCAATCTCCCTTTGTTCTTAGTCTCAGGCAGATCAGGAATGTCAAATCTGGCACAAATCTCCTTGTTATATGCTTCTTACCCCTGTGTTACCAGGCAGACTTTTCTAGCTGCAAGGGCAGCTTAGTGACATGGCTCATGGGGCAGGGTAGCAGACTCTTCCGGAAATCCTGCCTGTAACTATCACAGTGGCAGCTGCTGCCTGCTTTGGGAAATCTGGCTCTAGTTATGCCATAAGGAAGGGAAGAAATATGGGCTCCATTGGAAATCTGCCCCTTGGGCTTTTGAGTCATATTTTAGAAATGGGACACAGTTCTTAAACCCCTTGGACTCTAACCCACCTTACCCACTAGGTCAGGGGTGGGCAAAATGTGACCCGCAGGCCGGATGCAGCCTGCTAGGCCATTCTATCTCGCCCGTGGGGCCCCTAAAAATTTTAGAAAATTAATATTTATCTGCCCCTGGCTGCCTGTCATGTAGCCCTTGATGGCTTGCCAAAACTCAGTAAGCGGCCCTCCACCCAACATAATTGCCTACCCCTGCACTAGGTCCATAGCTGGAGGAAAGAAAATAGGCACGGAAATAATTCCCCTGGAGGGCACTAGGGGGCAGCATGGTATCAAAAAGGAGGGCCAGGCTCAGGCTTCAGAGCACTGACCCAGTTCAGCTCAGCCATTCCTCTACAGGGAGAGGATAACATCTCCTGCTGCTTTGCAAAGGGTAATGACCTGTCAATAGGTAGCAAAGTGTCTCCTCACCCTCTCCAGGCAGCACTGCTGATCACAGGCAGTCCAGAATCATTAGTCTGACTGCCCCAAAATTACGAGATGCCTTCAGAAGTCATGAGGGCTTTTTTATCCTAGAAGTTGATCTCGCCTTCTCCCTTGCTGCAGGGCACCCAGGGGACTGTTTTTGAGCTCTTTTTTCTACTGTGAGGGCTAGAAGTTGATTAGAAAAAAGTGCTCTTTTGTGTAGACTCAAGGTCATTGAAGTGCAGGAAACATAAATCCATCCGGAAAAAACTGCCCCATGTAGATGTAACGTCTTAGGAAATAACATGACTCCAGCAGGTGGAGCTTTAAAGAACCCCCATACTCCCAAATATTGTGCAGCTTGCATTAAAGTTATGTGAGCTGTCTGCAAAGTATAGGCAACACCTATCTTCCGCACCCCAGATCTGCCCCTCCTCTGCCCCACTACCCTTGGTCTTTCAGGAGTGCATCCCCCTCTGGCTGGTCCCTAGCCTGATGTAGCTGTCTTGCCCCTCTCTACCAACAGCTGGGTGTTCCTACATGAGAAGGCATACCAGGTGCGGGACACAGCTATCGAATCCTCTGTGGTGACAAAGGTCAAGGGCTTTGGCAAATACGCCAACCAGGTCATGGACGTGGTGGATTACGTCACACCTCCCCAGGTATTATGGCATGAGGGGGGACAGGGGTCAGAGCAGCTGGGGAATGGGACACCCAGCTAGCAAGAAGGATACCACTTTTGCTGCTCTTGTGAGCTTGAAGTATTTCTGGTGTGCTTTACAGACACCCCCAACACCTGCCCATTTTGCGAACAGAGGGAGACCCTGGCGCATGCCTACCTCAAGTGCACCAGATTGCAGACCCTCTTCCACCTCCTCCAGAACCTCCTGCTGAGGTTCTGGCTGCACTTCTCCCTGCACCTTTTCTTTTATGTATTCCCTGGCCATGGCCCCACCAAGCCCCAGGACATCCTGGTCAGCTTCCTCCTGGCTCTGGCCAAGCTGACCATCTATAAGACGAGCTAGGAATTTCTGGCCAGGAGGAACCTGAGCAAGGGTGGATCTGTCTTCCTCTTGCTCCTCCGGTCATGTCCCCAGGCAGGGTTTCTGGTTGGCATCCACAAGCTCCCATGACTCATTCCAGGAGGTAGACACTGACCTGTATGCTCTGCTCAGTGTCCCCTTCTGAATTCCTTGATTTGAACCTGTAACCCTCACTCCTGTTACTTTTTTCTTTTGTGTCTCAAACAATCAGTTGTTGCACTCTCAGTGGCCTCCCTTTTTAAGGGAAGCTTATAGATATTTGTGGTGGGCCTAGGCCCACATTTATCAAGTGCACCCAATAGGCTTGTGAGCTTGGAGACCCCAGGCAAGACCAGGGCCCAGTTGTGCCTAGTGTTTATAACCCGGTGCTCGGCTCAGGGTGTGGCCACTCAGCCCTTGCCTGATCTGCCCTGTTAGTTCACTCTCCTCTTCACTCTCTTGCCACGCCTTGATGTTATACTGTTTAAAGGAAAGGGAGGTTGCCCCAGGGCTTCCCAAGCCTGGTCTCACTCTGGCTCCCAGAGCAAGTTACATGTTTTGGGGCATTTGGCCCTAACTCAACACCAGGGTGCTTCAGGTCTTAATATTCTTCTTGGGTCTTAGCCTTTCCTGGCCTCAGCTGCCTTTTTCTGTCAGTGGTACCTGTAGCCTAGGCCCACTGTACCAGACCTGGCTTCTGCGTCCCAGCCCTCTTTGGGCTCTGGGCTCTCTGCCCTCACACTCTGGGTGCTATGGCCCCAAACACTGCCCTGCTTTGGGCTCTGGGTTCTCCAGTCTTGCATTCTGCCATGCTCCAGGCTCTGGGCTCTCTGGTCCCACACTCTACCCTGCTCTGGGCTTACTTCTCCCTCAGCACACCTTAAGCTTACCCCCAGCAGGGCTCAAGATGATCATGTGCCCCTGGGGCGCTAATGAAACCTCCAAAATTTCAGACACACTTCTTGAATCACCAACTTTAGAAATGATCCCTGAAAGTATAGTCTTTTCTGCCCTTAAGTCTGTACCTTGGGGCTTGGCTGGCCAGCAGGCCCTGGGGTTTGCTCCCCCTTCTCAATAATGGGGCAGGGGCTCTGTTACAGGGTCCAACCTTTTCTTTGGAATTACGGTCCTGTTGCCTTCACTGGTCCTTCTCTTCCTTGCTGTTCTGTGAAAACAAATAGGCATTACTGTGTTGCTTTCCTTGGCAGTGTTCTACCACAAAGTCATATGGCTGTAACTCAGATGCTATCAAGTCAACCAGAGATTGTCTGCCTTCATCTGGTATAGCCACTGGAGATGGGCATGGTCAGTTACTACAGTAAACTGCCACCCTAGTAGGTAATAGCAGAAGCGCTTTATTGCCCACTTTATAGCCAGACATTCTTTTTCTATCGTAGCTTATACTCGTTCAGGGGGTGCAGCTTGCGGCTAATATATGCTACTGGGTGTTCATTCCCACTCTATGTGACAATACAGCGCCTATGGCTGTGTTGGAGGCATCCCTTTGCAGTAAGAAGGGCTTTCCAAAGTTGGGTGCATGGACAACTGGCTGCAAGCATAGCACATCCTTTACCCTGTGGAAGGCATCTGCTGCTTCCCTGGTACACCATAACTTTTTTGGAGCTGCTGCCTTGCTTAGCTCTATCAGGGGGGCCATGAGCTCTGAGAACATGGGCATCAATCAGCAGTAGTAGTTTATCAGGCCTAAAAAGGACCACACCTATCTCTTTGTATGTGGCAGAGGATAGTCCTTTAAGGCTTGCCCTGTTCACGAGGGGTTTGATTTCCCCTCTTTGTACCAGAAAACCAAAGTACCTTCTTTCTTTTTCACCCAGGGCACACTTCTTTGGATTGTTGTCAAGCCTGCCTTCCTGAATTCGTTCATGGCAGCTTGGATGCTCCTCCCACTCCTATGTGAAGATTAGCACATCATCATTGTAGGCTGCCGCATACTTCTGGTGAGGGGGTTGGACCTGGTCCATTAATCTTTGGAAGGTAGCTGCTGCTCCATGTAGTCCGAAAGGCATCCGCGCAAATTCATACAAGCCACAGGGGGTGGCAAAGGCCATCTTCAATTGGGACTAGCATCCCAGGGGAATTTGCCCTCTCTTCGAGAGATCTAGGTTGGAGGTGAGTTGGGCTCCTCCAATCCTCTCCAACAGGTCTTCAGTCTGGGGCATGGGGTAGGCATCAAACTTTGCGATCTCGTTGACCCTATAGACATCTATGCAGAGCCATAGTTTTACATCTTTTCTTCAGAGCCATCATGATGGGGCTCTGCCATTCACTTCATGACTTCTGAATGATGCTTCAGGCAAGCACCTGGCCTACCTCCTTCACCAGTGTCTGTAGTCTCTGGGGGAATGTGTCTCCAACCTTCTCTCACCACCTTGTTGGGGCTTGTCTCTATGCTGTGTTCGATCAGAGAGTGAACCTGGTTCCTCCATGAAGACTTTCAGGAACTCCTGCACCAGTTGCTCTAGTTCAGTCCACTGAGTCTCAGATAGGTCCTCCCCCAGGACCATCAACGTGGCACTCTCTTTTTTCCTTACCTGGGGCCCAATTCTTGTGGATCTGGGTAAGACGCCACAAATAAGGCCTCCCTCTCTCTCCAGTTCTTCAACATATTAATGTGATATGTCTGACGTGTCTTTCTTCTGCCAGGCTGCCACACTTGTCCACCAACCCTGTCTTCCAAATGACCTCATATAGCCCCTGTCATCAGGCCATTAACTTGGATACTTGTTCCAATAGTAAAACTAGTACCCGATACCTGATCTCAAAATGGTGTTCCTGTGCTGGACAGTTGTATGCCACAGCTTGCTTGCCCTGCCCAGCTCGCCACTTCTCTCTGGCAGCCACTTGCACTGCCTTAAGTTGCTCCTGAACTCGCAACACGTGGCTGACATGGTTTCTGACTGATCCTTTCTGCACCTCCCAGTCCTCTTTGAAGAGGTCTAATGCTCCTTGTGGTTGGTACCCATATAACAGTTCAAAGGGGGAGAATCCTGTCAATTCTTGGGGTGCTTCACGATACACAAACATCAGAGGGGCCAGCATCCTATCCTAGTATCTAGGATCCTTCCCTATGATTTTCTTTAACATGGGCTCCAAGGTTTGGTTGACCCGCTCTACTAATCCATCCATTTCAGGGTGGTAAACAAGGGTTCACAGCCGCTTAATGCACAGCATTTTGCAGATCTCAGGGAATACCGTCAACATGAAGTTGCTGCCCTGATCTATCAATATTTCCTTTGGCAGGCCCACTTGTGGAGGAACTACTTAAAATATTCACACAACTTTCACCATATTAATACATCTGAGGGGTATTGCCTCTGGGTACCTTGTGGAGTAATCCACTACCACCAGGATGTATTGATATCCAACTGTGCTCTTGATGAGGGGCCCGACAATGTCCACCACCACCCTCTCAAAGGGCTCTTTCTATTAGTGACAATGGCACCAGAAGGGTTTTTGGGGGCTACCCCGGACCTGCTAAATATTCATAGATTTATAGATTTCATAGACATTAGGGCTAGAAGGGACCTTGGAAAATCATCAAGTCCAGTCCCCCGACCCAAAGGCAGGAAGTCAGCTGGGGTCAAAGGATCCCAGCAAGACAAACATCCAAATGTTTCTTAAAGGAGTCCAGAGTAGTTGTCTGCACTACCTCTGGTGGCAGTCTATTCCAGGCCTTGGAGGCTCAGACAATAAAGAAGTTTTTCCTTATTTCCAGTCTGAAACGGTCTTGGAGGAGTTTGTGACCGTTTGACCTTGTCATCCCTTGGGGTGCTCTGGTGAACAGGCATTCCCCCAGATCCTGATACACACCCCTTATATACTCATAGGCAGTCACCAGGTCCCCCCTGAGCCTGCACTTTTCCAGGCTAAAGAGTCCCATGGCTCTCAGCCTCTCATCATAGGGCCTGTTCTCCTGCCCTCTGATCATGTGCATGGCTCTCCTCTGGACTCTCTCAAGCTTTTCCAAACCCTTTGTAAATTGTGGAGCCCAGAATTGGATGCAGTACTCCAGCTGCAGCCTCACCAAGGCTGAGTACAGTGGGAGGATGACATCCTGGGATTTGCTTGAGAAGCATCTATGGATGCAGGCCAGAGTTTTGCTCACTTTACCAGCTGCAACATTGCATTGGTGGCTCATATTCATCTTGTGGTCAATCATGACCCCCAAGTCCCTTTCAGCCGTGGTGCTAGCCAGCATAGCACTGCTGAGCCTATAAGTGTGCTGCGGATTTTTCTTCCCAAGGTGGAGTACTTTGCATTTTTCGGTGTTGAACACCATCAGGTTTTTGTCCACCCATTTTCTGAGCCTGTCTAGGTTGGCCTGGATCACCAGCCTATCCTCAGGTGTGGACACTTTGCCCCAAAGTTTGGTGTCATAGGCAAACTTGGCCAGTCTGCTTCTGACACCAATGTCTACATCATTAATAAAGATGTTAAAGAGTATAGGCCTTGGGGGACCCCACTGGTCATGGCACACCATGATGATTTACTTCCATCTATTACCACACTCTGGGTCCGACCTCAGAGCCAGTTCCCCAGCCACCAGACTATGATGTCGCCAAGGCCACAGTTGGCCAATTTTTCCATGAGGAGATCATGGGACACCAGATCAAAGGCTT